GGTTCGAGTGTAGAGACCTAGTCGATTTGCAATGTTCCAAGAGTTCCATTGGATATTGCGGGCAGAGACCATTCAATGATTTATAGACAAAAAGAAGGTGCTTAAACACAATTCATTATGAAACAAGCAACTAATTTTAATTGGTACAACTTAAAAGTTGTACCAGTTTTAATTGGTACAGCTTAAAAGTTGTACTAAGGTAGGAGTAATATGGTCACATTTCCTTGTACCATAATGAGCAGCAATGTTCTGGATTTGTTGTACCTCCTTACTTTATACTTTGGTAGAAAGATGGAACAATATTGATGAGTTCAGTGACAAAGATCAGTGAAAAGTGAACTACATTTTTGTAGAATGCTAATTAGACATCAATTTCGTTATCAATGAATGAGTAACATTTACTATTGAAAGTCATATGACAGATTACTTCCGTCACGGCCAAAATGAAGATTGTAATTGTTTCTCATTGTGAACTAGGGAAGATCATCAATAAATTTCTGTATCAAGATAGACTTAGCTTCTTTTTAAAAGTAGCAATATTTACAATAGATTTTAAAGAAGTGTCAAAAGGGTTCCAAATCTTACTTGTTCTATTTAAGAATGTACATTGGCCACTTGCAGTTCAATGTTTATTAATGTGAAAATCTTCTTTATTCCTTTTTGTTTAATTGTGTGTATCCTTTCTTTTACTGAACTTTTAGCACAGGTACAGTGGAGCTATGCCATTGATGCATTTAAAGGCAATCATTGCATTCTTTAATTCGAGATGTTACTTGATGGGTAGCCACTTTAACTCACGAAGAACAGGAGTGATATGATCATACTTACGTGTGTCAAAAAATAATTCTAGCCGTTTAGTTTTGAATTAATTGTACCTTTTAAAAGTAGCATCTGTGGTCGTTTGAATGAATATAAAAGCACGATGTCTAGGATTCACAATAGTCTTTTACAAACAAACAAACACATTTGTACTAAGCGCCCCTCTTCAAATAAGCGCCCTCCCCCGAGAAAAAATGAGTTTCGGTACTCGGTACGATATACCAGACGTATACGGTTCTTTTAATAAAATGTGGCATTGTTAAATAGTATAAATAGTAATGTCCTTTAAAAGTCGCACGGGTTTGCTTCTCATTTCTTTGATAGAAATATCCATGTGAGCACATAGCTGCTTCACTTTATTAATTTCCTCGCAAAACTGTGCTCCCAATAGAAATAAAGATAGTGTCATTTTGAGGCTAAAAATTGATAAATGAAATAAGCGCCCAGCTACAAATAAGCGCCCCCTTCGAATTAGCGCCCCCCTCTTGCCTTAGAAAATTAAATAAGCGCCCCGGGTGCTAACTCGAGCATTTACACGCTCTTCAAACCTTTCCCAACAGCTTTCAACATCTCCAATTCCACCTCAATCTTCGTTGTAGTCTGCTTACTTTTGCGGGTACCTGGTACTTTGGGCTGTTTTTGTTTAGATGCAGATGAGTCACTGACATGATCTTTCGTAGATCCTGCCTTTGATTCAGTGCTTTCACTCTCTGTATTCTCGACTGCACTAGCAGCGGAACTAGTTTCCATGTAGCTGTCATCATTTTCATCATCTCCATCACCATCGTCGTCGTGATCACTTTCTTCGCTCCTTACAACCAAATTACTTTTTGTACTCGTTGAGAAATATCCTTATCTAAAAAGTGGAGATAGGGAAACGTGTCACTGGCTTCTTTCAGGGCACGAAGCACTTCATTGGAAGACGTTCCGGATTTCTTCGCTTTCGTAATTCTTTGCTTTTCCCGAGAATATCGAGCTGTAAGATTCTCGAATTTTTTTTCTGCAACAGAGCCTTAAATTGTAAAGAAAATACATTGCAGTGTTTATAAGATTAAGCTTATCAATTTAAACCCACAAGAAACATTGATTTGCTCACCTGACTCCAAACCCAGCTGCTGTGCAACTTGTTGCCATGCATTCTTTTTTTTTGTCGCTATCTTTAAATTCCTTCAAAGTTTTATCGTACAATACAGCAAGGTTTTCAACTACACTCGCAAGCTTTTCCTCGAATGTGGCCGCCATCTTGAAATGAACCGACCCGAAGGTACTAGACCTATACTTTAATTGGCCAAAACACAACGATCCCGTTGCGTCATTATACGGGGTTGAATAACAATCATTGGTTATCCAAAAATAAGTGTCATTTCGTCCCTTGCAGTTTCCATGGCAACGCTTTCATAGGCTTCTTCAGACGCATTTTTTAGCTTGTGGCTTAAATAATTCGAAAACTAACCCGGTAACCCCCTGATTTTTTTTTAGTGATTGCTTTTGGCACTTGAAAAGGAAAATGCGCAAAGATTTTTAAAAAATTCTACGAAACGGAATTTCAGAAAATCTACAAAAAGGGCAATTTTCACACATCACAAATTTCCTTCCGTAGAATTTTCTAGTTTTTTTTCTGATGATTCCTTTCGACGTTATTATCATATTGGAACAATAAAAAGAAGGGGTCACCGGACTTGTTTTCATGCAATAGCTTTCGTGAGTTTAGCAATTTCCACGCGCGTTTTAAAAATCTGGATTCTATAAGATCGACATTTGCTCATGATCTGTTTTAGCTACCGCTGACAATTGCGTGTGCTCGCGCGAGCACCTACGATCTGATGTTTACAGACGTTTACTGCTAAGAAAATCATTAAACAGCCGTCAAAGACAGCCTCCCGAGCTCATCTTA